TTAATTTTATTACTTTCTTTGAAGTTATTAACGTGTGTATTTTGTTATTAGAAACAAATACGAGGCATCCAAGTAAGTAACTTAATTACTTTATTGATATTTTGATATAGAAATCATGCTTAGATTATTTTATTTATTCCTAGTATCATGTTATGGTATTTTGATCTTCCAAGTATCATGTTTAGGGTAATAACTAAAATTTTTAATATCAAGTATGATTGATATGATGCTTCTTATTTCTTTCCTAATATCATGTTAGTATCATGCTAAGGCTAAAACTTTGATATTTAATGTTTAGTGACAAATTAGGGTTTGTTATTAATTTTGTTAGTATCATGCCTATGATCTTGCTAATATTATTATGCTTTATTGTTAACATATTATTCTCATAATTGTTATAATTATTATTATGACGATGATTATTGTCATGTCGAATTATATAATTTAACGTAATTTGTTAATTAGCGAGTTTTTTTCACGTAATTTGTTAATTTACGAATTGTTTCACATAATTTGTTAATTTACGAATTGTTTACGTAATTTGTTAATTTACGAATTATTTCATGTTATTTGTTAATTGACAGATAATTTTCATATAATTTATGATTATTATGCTGCTTGATATATGATTATTATTGTTATTGCTTGATCACGCCTTTTATGCATGTTTAAAGGGAATTTGTACTTGAAATCACGCTTAATAAGATAATTAATAATCTTGTTTAGGCTAATATAATTCTAATTCAAGTGATCGCCAATAATAGCTTTGTTGTGCATTAATATTCAACCAACATAGATTAAGAAGGTTTAGGGTTAACCTAATGATTGTATGTTAGTCAGAAAGCGCACATGAATACGAGTAGAATAAAGTAGAGACCCATTTTATAGGGCGAGTTCTTTCTCTTTTAGATTGTTCGTACCCTCATCCCCGAACTTCCACTCATGGTTGCAGACCTGTTGGAGTTAACGATCTCCTGGATCGTTGAGGGGTGTAACCTTCACCCTGTGAACAATTTACAAGTTCCTAAAACTTGTTAGCGACCCTTTTGCTCTAGCTTCATTCCCTTTGGACGCCACCATACTTAAGTGTATGATCACATTGGGGTTCAAGTTTGGGATAATGTTTGAAATGTTCCCTAATGTTTTTTGGCGACTCCACTGGGGAAGATTTTCATTTTAATTCCTAAAATTTATTTTGACAATGTTTTAGAATGAGTGGATTAGACTCGAAAATTTCTAAGTATTTCATGTGCGTAATTTTGATTGACATTTTTGGCATAAGCATAAAAAAGGTTCTCATTGGAAAAACCATCCAAAATGAGTCACAAAAATAAGATTTTGACACGTAGGAAATTTTAAAAATATCTTTCACAACTAGAATCGAAATAATACTGCGAAAAATGGAAAATTCTAAGAACACAGAAAGCTATGAGGCATGTAGGAACTAGCGCTGAGAAAACAGAGTTCATCGCTCGAGAAATAGCCTCGTCGCCTAGCGACAACCTTGTCGTCTGGCGATGGAGTTATTTTCTGGCGACAGACTCTGTTGGCTCGCGCCGTGTTCTTCTAATACCGAGCTAAAACTCTGCCTTCTTGTTTTGACTGGTTCTAGCACTGTTGGCTCGATTCTACTTCTTGATTCAGTTTTTCTCTCTTTTCTTAAACCCATATGTGTTCAACATATGGCCATAACCCTCTGGGTGTTCACGCTCCATCTACCCAATCGAACGCTCCTAGCAACGACGGGTACATCCGAGATTGTTGAATTCACCAAACCGTGAAGCGAGTTGGGGTCCCATCCATACGCACCAACCCTTCCAAAGGTAAGACTTCCGCGCAATGCATCCGGGCTCATAACCATGGACCCTCTTTGACTAGCCTATATCCTTGAACTTTAGAGAACTAAAGCCATGGTTAAATTGCAAACTCATTGCATCATATTGTGACTACTTGACTACTTGTGCATTCTTTGCTTGTGCATAACCTATGTGTGTTTACACTAACCGTTTGTTTGACTTGTGATTAAGTCTAAATAAACTAATTAATGACTAAAGAAATTTGCTTAATTAATTAATTAATTAATTAATTTGAGTAATTAAAGTCAATAAATCAATCAAACTGACTTAGTAAGACTATAGGCATGTCCCTTTAAAGTAAAAATACTGGAAACAGTCCCAGATTAATGTTCCAGCAATGGCTCAAAGTTTTGGGTTGTGGCGCCAAACACTGCTATGCAACGCCTGGCGACGACACTGTCGTATGGTGCTACACTTCAGTGTGCGGTGACAGTTCTGTTGCTTTGGCGACAGTCCAGTTTATTACTCGAGTCATCACGACGAGTCTAATTAAGCAGTTTATTAATTAGTTTGATTAGTTTGTTAATGGCAGTAGCCATATTTAGTCCTTAATTGAGTCTAAGCACTTAGTTCCATGGTCATGACACAAGTCTTCCACATTTGAGTGGGGGGTCCAATCTATTCCCATTCTCTTCCACATTCTCTTCCATGTTGAGTAGAGCTTGAGTCAAAATAAATAATAAAAAAACTTATCCCTAATTTCCCTTTCCACAGTACTTGGTCAAGGAAAGAAGGGCGATTAATCAAAGACAACACCTTTATTTAAGTTCAACTTTTTGATAAATTGATTCGTCAAAAGAGAAAAGCTAAGAAGATAATGGAAAGTCAAGAAGAAGTCAATGAACTTAAGAAGAAAATGGCTAACATGACTGAGGAGTTGAAGGGTTCAACCCTTCAAATCAATGACCCTGTGAAGCAACAATAAATGGAGCTCATGCAAGAAAGCTTGAGCAAAATATCCAATGACTATAGATTCTAGGACATTAGCTCACAAGGGGTCTTAGTGGACAAGGAACTTTTTCCGCAGAAGTTCAATGTCACTGACATCCCTAAGTTCAAGGCAACAGATAATCCCTACTTCCACTTAAGGGCATTCGAGACCATACTGAATATTAAAGCGATTGATAGGAAAGTCTGTCATTCCTTGTTTTCTTTATCTCTTGAAACCATTTGTCAACAATGGTTCTTTTCTCTTGATAAAGAGAAAACCTCTACTTGGGATGCTATTGTAAACACTTTCATTGATAGATATAAATGTAATATTCATGTCAAAAAGAGAAAAAGACAAAAAGAGAATGAAGGATTTACTTCTTTCTTTAACAAGCGGAGGGAAACTTCCGCTAAGATGATTGAGGTGCCCACCAAAAAAGAATATGTAAGGATATTCATCAAGAACCTTCAAGACAAGTATTCGAAGCATTTGAAATAACAACACAACTTGAATACTTTCAAAACCGTCTATGACATAGGAATTGAAATAGAAGATGACCTTGCAAAGCAAAAAGCTACTAACAATAGTAATCACAGTGGCCGAAAAGGAAAGAAGAACGACAATCCTTCTTCTTCTGAAAACTAACGCCCACTCTAGTAACAATGTTAGTACCTTTGATCTCAGTGAAGTCTTAGCCATGGATAACCAAGGATCTAAGAAGCAACTAAGGAAAGACTTCACACCCATTGGGATGAGCTATGATGCTGCCTTCGATCGACTCCATACTAAGGGACTCATTACTCCCATTGGACTTATTCAAGATCCCGCACCTGAAAAGAGATTTCCTAGTTGGAATCCAGATGAACATTGCAAGTACCATCAAGGTAGGGGTCATACTACTGAGAGCTGTTGGAAGCTAAAGGAGGCCATCCAGATCGAAAATAACAAGCTTCCTATACCTCCAATTGGAAAGAAGACTGAGTGATGATATAACACAAGACACGAAGCGAGCTTCAATGACAAGATTTCGTGACCTCCTTTTCTATTTCTTTTATTTATCCCTTCCCCAATAATTCTAGCATATACACCTTTTACTTTCCCTTAGATTTATTTTGTAGGATCATTCTTTATTTTCCTTTAATAAAATGAGCATTTCCTCCCTTGCATATGATCATTGCATTGCATAAAAAAAATTTAAAAAAAAAAATCCACATCGAACTAAGCATAAGGTACACCCATGATTAGAGGCACCCCTTGTAGCCTATCATATCATCTTCACCCTTTCAAATATATAATCCTTTTTTGATAAACCACTTTGAATCTCGTCTAACGATAGACCTTTCTTTCTTCAACCCACATCTATCTAATCTTGGGATGGGATGGTGTGTAACTTATGCAATTTTAAAAGCTTGAGTGATTTCAAAAAATTAAAATAGCAAAAAAATAATAAAAGTGTACAAAAGGGCAAGTGTTCCAATGTCTTTGATATGAAAATATCTTTGATAAGAACACGTCTCAAATTGTGTCTCTTATCGTGTGCTCGGTATCGTGCCTAAGAAACATGAATGTCAAGTGAGTGATAGACCGCATGATCGAGATTGCCCACACTTATTTAAAAAAAAAAAAAGAGAGATAGAAAGAGCAAAATGTAAACAAAAGAGAGCTCAAAAGAGTTAAAAGCCTCAAGTATAAATTTATAAAGATTCAAAAGCAAGGTTGCACACCTTGGGAGGCTTATTGAGGGTCTTGAGCCTTTATCTCCTTCAAACCTTTAGCCTAGCTAACCACGTTATAACCCTTTAAAACACCTTTTTGAGGTATACACCACTACTACAAAATATGCAATAGAGAACGTTTGAAATAGGCAATATAGAACGCCTTAGAGGCGTCTTTCAAGTGGGATGCCTTATAAAGTAAATAAGACGCCTATTTGAGGCATTCTATATTCAATACAATACATAACACCTATCCAAGATAGGCGTTTCCAATTGTATCCACTAAAAGATAAAAAAAACCAGGCAAAGAGAATGCCCATCTCATATTAGGCGTTCTATAATCATATGAAAATAGAACGCCTGTCCCAGTTAACGGTCCTCTTTTCTTCATTTTTTTCAAAAAAAAATAATTAGAAAATATTTAAATGATTTTCAGTACATTATTTATCGTATTTACATTTGCTATTCTGTAAAAATAGGCTAAATCAAACAAAATGATACGTATTCTAAATTTATAACTCATACTCGTATTATAGTCTTTCGTATAATACAATTCTAATTAAAAAAAATTAATACAGTAATTGAACTTCTCAATACTCTGTATAATGGAGAAGAATGCGATAAAAAATTAAAAAAAAAAAGTTCGAATCAAATAAGTCGGCTATTCTTGCTTCCATTGATGAATCTGCATCAAAAGGAAAACAAAATTATCGATAATTCAGGATAAAAAAATTTAGTACTAGTAAATAACTATTCAGTTACGGATCTTCATAAAAAAAATAATTAAGAAGAAAAGCAATTTAATTTTTTTGAAAAAGACAGTATGCAAAAAACCTAATTATTTCCCCCAAAAACTCAAACATTGAACCCAGGCCAAAACCAAAGTAATACTCCTTAAAATTAATCTGATTAAAACAAATTAAACATCTATGGATTAAATAGAAACTATATTAGATCGAAAATAAGAAGAAAAAAAAAAAGAAATTTTCGTTAATACAGGCTAGAGATGAGAAATAAACATTAGAAAATCAGAGAAGAAATCGCAAGACGAAAGATGCGCCGCTTCCATTGACAAAATCGGAGCCAAAGGTGGCCTGAAATCGACCCTGGCGATAAGAGAGTTTGGTGAAGAACGGTGGTGAAGGAGATAGTCTGAAGCTTAAAAACTAAGAGAAGAAGGTAAAAGAAGTTATGGAGAATTATTTTTGGTTCAAGCTTTAAAAAATAATTGAAATGGGTGAAGGTGGGTTTATGGGAGTTTATCAATTTTGTTAGTGGGAGAAGATGGAGATCGTGGGTTCTAAAGGGAAAAAATGGAGGGCTGAGATTTAGAAGGCTAATGAAGAGGCGCACAAAGAGAATAAATGGGTTTAGGTCGGTTAGATTCATTTTTAAACTAAAGAGGCGCTAGAACGTTTCTCTAATAGAGGCGTTTTGTTTGACTCCTCTTACAAAACTGTGACCATTCCTAGGCGTTCTATATTATGAAGTTAGATTTTTCGTATATTTTTTTTATTATGTGATAAATCAAATAAAACTGTTGTTAAAGAGAGGTGTTCTGTATAATTTAGTTTATAAAACCGTCCTCCAACAAAGGCGTTTTATATAATTCTATAGAACGCCTACCCAACTTGATAGTTCTATATTAAGTGTCACTTTTTCCACTTTTTGTGGTAGTGCACACTTGTGCGAGGTTCAGCTAGAGCACGTTCGACCTGATTCCTAACGAATATGTAGGCAACTTCACAGAGGAGTGCGGCCATGATAAAAATGCATGCATTCATTCATATTTATATTCATCATGATCATATCAAAGGATCTCCAATGCTCATCCCTATTCATTTAGAGCTAGACTTGGGGGCTTGATCCTTACATTATTAGCCAACCCAGCCTAAGAGTCACCACCATTTGACTCTTTTCAATATATTTTTTTCACACACTTAGCCCTTGCGGCCTAGCTTTAGTATCACTTTTACACTCTACACAGATACATGACCAAATAGTCCTTCCTTTAGGAACCCTTTGTCATGAAATCTTTACACAACGTTGAAGCATACTTTGTCATAACAAAATCACTCATCACTCATCATTTCATCACAAAGTATGAAGTGCTTAGCCTCCGTGCCTAAGTTACCTAAATACGTTCATCATAAAGTCAACAATTGAGATAGCCTAGGATGAAATAATCCTTGCACCTTGAGAGATAGTATCAAACAACATTTGACTAAGATCATTCAACATGCACCATAAAGAACTTCTTCCTTTTTGTGTCTTTCTTTTTTGGGAGAAAGTCGGTACCATCCACAAAAAAATGACGGCAATTTTTTGCTTTTTTGCATTTTTTGAGTCGCACGATCACACTATAATGCACACACAAGTCATGAACGTTAAGTCATATCGTGTCATATCATCTTAAATTGATTCTAACACATGTGTCAAGCACTTTGAGTTGAGTCATGACAAGTCATATGTGTTAAAGACACATTAAGTCTTAATTGAGCCTTAGGTCAACCCTAAGATAACTAAAAAGATGAGCAAAGTCCTATAGTCAAAAATAAAAATGCAGGAACATCCCAGCAAGAAAGAAAATTCTCGGATTTTTTCAAAAAACCGTGAATGTGACACATGAGATTCTTCCAACATGAGAGGAGTTTGAGCAAAATTACATGGATCAGTAAATTAGAGATGAAGAGCTTTAATTTACAAAAGATTTGAGCGGTTTTGGTTGAAAGGAAATGGCCAAGTGATGAGTGTCATTTATGGCACTCATAGGGTAGTCTTTTAGGATGATTTCATCCCTTTTCCATGCTTTCTTCTCCTATTTTTGGTCCTTTTTCCTTTAGTTCCTCTCTTTCCTTCTTTCTTTGTGTTTTTCGTGTTTTCTTCATATTTTCCTTTTATTTGGCCCTTTTCCCTCCTTTATTCCTTTCCTTTGTTTGCTCTTGTAGGTACTTAGGAGTTGTCTTTGCAAATGGATCAAGATGAGCTATATTGACTAAGCAATGAGGAAGCAATCTTCTCAGAGAGGGCTTGGAGAGGGCTTGGAGAGGGCGTTAGCCTTTGCCAGGTTGCCGCGGGCGCAGATCCTGAAGGCCACGGGTGCGGATTGTGATGCACCAAATTAGCCAAAATCGACCAGGAACTCATCGCGGTCTGGCCGCGGGCTCCCCGCAGGCGCGGATAGAGTGGAGAGAGCGCTCCAGATTAGAGAGACAACATCCCTCTGATTACTCTTTAGGAGCAGGGGATTTGCCGCGCCCTTGCCGCGGGCGCGGGCAGATAGCCCGCGAAGTTTGTTATGGGTTCTGTTTCGGGGTTTTCTGATGTCCTGCGGGAGAGTTACAATTCCGAGACTGGAACCGGACGCCTGTACCTGCAAAACAACAGAGACTCCTTGTGGTGGGAGCTCCGCCTCCAACGGTCAAGTTAGTACTTGATTAAGGAGTAATTAATGCGGAAATTAAAGTGATTGGGTCTCTCTAGGTGAGAGTGTTTAATGTGTGTAATCTGCGTTTTTTGCGTAATCTCCCTTAATGAGGATTAAGGGAGGTATTTATAACCTCGGAAAACGTGCCAATCTAGGTTTAGGTTAACCTTGGGCTGATTGGGCTTCCCTCGGAAGTTGGGCCTAGGTGACCGGCTTCTCCATTAGGCATGGAGTATGCCACATGTCATGACATAATAAGTCCAGGGTGGACGAATAAGCGTGTGCCACGTGGCAAGCTCTGAGAGGTCCAACTGGGGGACACTTGGCAGGACCTGATTGGCCCACGTGGCGCATTCTGATTGGTGGGAGCAAAATCCCCTAATCATTTGCCCCTCACAGGTGGCACGTGACTGGTCACGTGTTACCTGTGACAGGTATCGCCCTGTAACAGGCGACGGCCTGCTACAGGTGTCACTCGGCTAGAGGCCGAGAGATTCTCCTGCCAAAATTTTGAATTCTGGAAGTGACCCTTCGCCTTCTCACTTCGCCTATATAAAGGAGTGTTGACTTCGGTCATTTTCACACTTGAAAACTTTTTGAGAGAACATTCGGACCCCTAAACTTGCTCTGACATTTTGGACCCTTTCTGCCTACCGCCTGCTTTGACAAGCCGACTGCAAAGGATTTTCAGAACTTCATCAATCGTCACTCGTTCAGGTAACCGTCGGTTCTCTTACTCTTAATTTTCTCTTTACTTTATTCTTTTTTGAAATGGCACCACGGAAGCACACGACACGACCTAGGTTAGTGATCAGCCGGTCACCGGGGACGGCTGAATCTAGGACTAGGAGTGCCGCCTGCCCTTTTCTGGACCCATCTTTGCCCTTTACACAAACTTCGACTGTATCTGTGTCTATGCAGAGCATGATGGCCAGAACAAAAAAGACTGCCAGGATCTCAAACTCAGACGGCTCCTCCCACAGGGTGCCGATTAGTGAAACATCTGACCAGGCGCCAGATGTGGAAGTGAAACAAAGCGGCTTGAAAGCCGGCAGTTCTGAGGGAGGAGTCAAAGTGACCCCTTCCCATTTTACAGTTGACAATTCTACATTCTCTCCTGCTCCTTTTAAAGGAGAGGAGGCGGGCCCCTCCGGGAGAGGGGAGGAGTCGTCCTCTTCGGACTCGTCAGAGGACGATTCCGAGTCTAGCTCTTCTGGCCATGCTTCCCTGGACACAGAAGAGAAAAACTGTCGCCTACAAGAGGCGAGGCTTTCTCACGCAGTTGAGAAGGGGGACGATTGGGCGGAGCCATCCGCCTCTCACCGAGAGCAAAATACCCCCTACTACTGCACGGTACCTCGGGGCCGGATCACGGCCATGCAAGAGAAAGTGGAGAGCTTTATCGCAAACCACACAATGGGCCCTGATTTTTAGTGTTCGTGCCGCATCCAGAAGACACAGTCGTCTGGCCGGCTGGTACCAGTTATGATGGCGCCTGCTTTGGCTGCTACGAGGCGGCCATCAAGGCTGGGCTGCGCCTCCCACTACATCCGGCTGTTCAGCGGATCTTGGATGGGTATGAGTTGGGGTTATGGCAGTTAGCCCCGAACTCCTGGGTCAACGTACTCGGCTATGTGGCCGGGTGCAAACTGCACGGGGTGGAGCCGAACTTCGAGGCTTTCGCCCACATGAACTACCTCAGCCGGACCCCTAAGGCAGGCGGTACCGGCTGGTATCAATTGACGAGCCACAGGGGCTACCTCATGACGAGAGGTAAAGCAAACAAATGGAAGGACTTGCGGAACACCTTCCTTATCATTGAGAGTTCAGACACAGAGCTGAACAAGCGCTTCAACAGGTGGAACAGGAATCCGCCCCTTCTTGCAGGCGGCCGCAACATGCCGCCTGTTCCCCCCAAGGCTAAGAAAGAGATCCTAGATAAAGGACTCTTCAAAGTAGAGTTGAAGGTGAACTCTACTTCAGGGGTACGAGAGCAAGTACCCCTGCACTGCGTCCCGAGCTTCAAATGGCTCTACGACGAGTACTTTTTGGCCGCCTGTGGCCTCAGCAGTCGGTGCTCAAGAGGTAGCCGGCCTGTCGAATACTCTGTTGTTCCGTGCATTTCTTGTTATGACTTTTTTTAACTTTGCTATTTGTTTTTGCAGCGGACGCCATGAGCAAAATTACCGCCTCCAAGACTGCGGCGGCCATGTTGCGGGCCTCCATCATGCAACAGTCTTCAACCGACTCCCCCAACAAGGGGGCACCCTTGGTGGGCTTCGAACCTTTCACCCTCTTTTTGGAGTTGTGTTTATGCATATACTGACTCTTTTCTTCTTTTTTAGACGGGCGCTCCAAGAGCTTCTTCTTCCCAACAGCCGGACCCCAAGGCCCGGAGGACGACTGTTGCGAGCTCTCCTGGTTCTTCCAGGAAACATGCGGCGGCTGAGAAACAGCCGGCCACTTCTTCTAAAACTCTAGCTGGGCCACCTAGAAGTATGAAATTGTCCTTGTAAATTTTAGACTTGCTCCCTTCTTTACTAGGTCTAATCCGTTTGTTTATGATTGATGCAGCCGGCCCTCAGGAGCCTGACTTGGTCGAAGTGGCCAAGTCTATGATCAAGGCCGTACCTCCAGCTGAAAGGGAGGCGGTCAGGGGTGTCGGCACCCTTGACCTAGACGGGATTGCAGGGGTCCTTGCTGAGGTATACTTAGCATATTTTTGAGTATTTGAATTCCAGGACGCCTGTTTTCTTTTTTGTTTGGAAACTGACGCCTGTTCCCCTTTTTACTTAGGCCCTTCTCCGAGTGAACGGCCTTCGCAAGCCGCTTGACCGGAAGAACAAAGAGGTAAAGGCTGCAAAAGCTATGGCCACCTCTGACTGTGATAAGACAATGTTTCAAATTGCCTAAAATGAAGTTCTGACAATTGATATTCTTTATTATCAGGCACAGGCTACCGCCGCTATCCGGGCTCAGTTAGAGGCGGCCCAGAAGAGGAATAGCGAGCTGGAGGCGACCATCAACAACCTCAAGACCGAGCTGAGACCTCTTCGCCAAAAGATGTCCTCATACGAAACCTTGGAGAAATCCTTGGCGAGCGTAAAGGAACGCCTGGTGACCCAGGAGAAGAGTCTTACTCAGGAGCTCTCGGAAAAGGCCGAG